TGCTGCCTTATCTTGGTCCCAGAGCAATGGAATTGGCCACCTATGGACTGCGACCTCTGATGCTGTGAGCCCCAAATAAACTTTTCCTCCTTTAAGTTGTTCTCATTGGGTACTTTGGTCATAGCAATGAAAAAGCTGACAAAAACAAATAGCAATATATGAATCCTACTAAATCAATTGGATTGGATGAACATTTAATGGACAATTCAATGAATTTCTGGGGATGGGACCTGGTCACTACTAGATTTTCCCTTCCTTCCTTCCTTCCTTCCTTCCTTCCTTCCTTCCTTCCTTCCTTCCTTTCTTCTTTCTTTTTTCTTTCTTTCTTTCTTTCTTTCTTTCTTTCTTTCTTTCTTTCTTTCTTTCTTTCTTTCTTTCTTTCTCTTTTTAAAAATTCCCTTGTAATTGTAATAAGCAGCCAGAATTGGGAACCACTTTAGACCCAGCATAGGCAAACAACAGTGTACGGACATCTAGCCACTAACCTATTTTGCACCGTCTGGAGCAGAATGGTTTTCATATTTTTATAAGGACAAGAAAGAGGGGTGAGGGAGTAAAAGGCCCTATTTGTCTTACAAAAGTAAAATATTGACTTTCTGGCCACTTACAGAAAAGGTTTACAGACTCTTGGTCTACTAGGCTGTTCCATGGATCTTGCACTCCGGCTGTGGCTAAGGCAGGTGGCTAGAAGAGATCTAGCAGGCCTAAAATTTTGAACAAAGACTTCTGGAAAGCAGAGGTATGAAGACTGGAAAATATTTGACCTTCAGCTGTCTCTCATTAATGTTTTTTTTTGTACATTTTCTCAGTTTTTTTTTTTTTTTACAGCATACCATTTCCTCTTTTCTATTTCACATGGAAATAGACGGTCATCCTTCTCCATTTCACTTGCTAATTATYTTTTACATATATATGTAAAAAAGTTCTGATTGGCCACCTAAATCAAATCATAATGACCACTCAGACAGAGTTCCATTGCACAAAATAGCTTCCAGGAAGTTTTCTTGTGGACCCTGCAGAAGAGAGGGCTAGAGAGAATTGCCCTTTCAACTTGGCAAGTGGGCTCTTTACCCTGGTCCACTCTTCAGAAACCCTTGCTACTTGGAATATCTTTCTCAACATTTGCTGTTTCCCTGCAATGGCCACAGTTGATGCACCCGGTAATGAGAATCAATAAGGGCTGAGTTTCATTTCCCCAAATGTGAAGATTGAACACCAGAGAAATGCCTAGGCAAGTGTAAAAAACAAGTTTTTTTTTGTTTTTTTTTTTTTTTTTTTTTGCACCCCTTACAGTCAGCCTGGGCTGGCAGTGCTTGCCCTAAAACCCTGGTGGGCTCCCATGCTGCTTCTCCCCTTCAGGTTTTCTCCTCCCCCCGCCCCAGCACATGAGGCACTCAACTCCTTCATATTTTCCTGGGGAGAGGCCTGGTTTCCTAGAGGGTTAGCCATGGTTATAGAAGTCACAATTCCCAGAGAAAAAGAGTAAGGACTAAGCACACAATTCAATACATTTCCCTACACAAGCTGTAGAAACAGAGTTTGAACATCAGATCAGATAACATTGTATCTCAAAGAATAGAGGAGGCTTTATATTGAATTAGACATTGTGGGGCAGTAAAAGAGAGTTGATACTCTTCCATTTTTCCTTCCCATGTTAGAYGAATATTTCAATTAGTTTTGTCTGAATTTTAAAATCTAAAACTAATTCTATTTTCTTGATATTGTGATTGGTGTTTCTTTAAGTCATCTTCTTAATCTGTAAAATTCTTTTAAAAGATGCCATCCTAGGGCTGGGGTTGAGGCTCAGAGGTAGAGCGCATGCCTAGCAYGCATGAGGCACTGGGTTTGATCCTCAGCACCACATAAAAATAAAGATATTGTGTCCACCTATAACTAAAAATCATTTGAAAAAAAAGATACCATCCTATCTAGRTAGTGCTAATAAACACAAAGTACTGTTTGTCCATATTGGAARTGTTGCCAAGAAACCACAGGTATGGGAAGGCAGCAGGGCTCAAGAACCTCATAGGTAAGAGGCAGCAGCTCAGAGGAACAGGAATTCTTCTAGAGCTCTTGACACTTCTCAATGGGTTTYATGAAGTCTTTTACCTTTTCCCGTCTCCTGGGCTCATTAATTTTTTAAAAGGTGATTATATTTCAAAAATGAATATTGAGAAATACAAAGCCATAGATAGCATTCTAAATAATAATATTAAAATTTTAATTTTTAAAAAATGAGTAAATTTGCTCTTCATTTTCTTACATGAAATCACACGTTAGGAGTGCACCCAGTCCTGTTTTTATAATTTTACTTCATGTTCAACACTTTCATAAACAAAGTAAAGTATTTCAGTGTGCACTTTAAAAGTAGATTTTTGTA